TGACACCTTTCCACGCCGCAGTATGATTTTATTATGTCAGCGGTCATCCCACATTATTAATATTCAACTTCATGTACTGAACAAGAGCAGTTAACACTGTTACGTAGGTTATTTCTTCTTAAAAAAGTTGTAAGACTTAGAATTTTAGTTGAAGAGGAAGGGGGTCACAGAGTCTACATGGGAATTCGCTACCCGAGTCATTCATTTTTAACCTCATTCCCAAGTCTTTTCCCTTAATTAGGGGAAAGCCTGGCTAAAGGTAGTGAGTATTGTGGTCTAGACCGTAAGCAGTCCCTCTAGTGTTTGCGTTAAATACCTTCTGTTGTAGATCCACTGACCCCCATCTTGGATTATATGCGGATTATATGGCGAGAGAAATCTGTTGAGGAGGACAAAACTGCTCTGGGTACCGGGGAGGGGACAGGGTCATCTTGAGAAACAACGCCTTGAAGACCCGGGGACGAGGTTAAATAGGCCAATTCCGATATATTAAAATTCTAACTTGGCTCCGAGGCTTAGGGGAATAAAACAAAAGAAATTAATTATTCATCCCTCATCCTGGGTGCGATTTTTTTTGTTTTATTCCCTTAAGCTTCGGAGCCAAGTTAGAATTTTAATATATCGGAATTGGCCTGTTGGCTGAATCGGACCTAATGGACCTTTTCGGCGATACGGCGGCCATTTTGAATTTAATGGTTTCAAATACCTATGATGGGATGCTCAGAGGGCAAATACATACTAATTTGCCCCCTGAGCATCCCATAATAGCCATTTGAAACATTAAAAATCAACATGGCCGCCGTATCGAAGAAAAGGTCCATTGACTATAGCATCATAAACATGCATAACCATTTGATTTTGCATGGTTGCTAACGAATTTGTTGGCACGTTATTGAGTTTTAGTTTTAGTGAGAATAATTTTTTTTGGTGCCCATCTTGTCAACGCCTTTTAGTTTTGAATGAAGAATGTAAAAACAGAGACCGATACAACGTAGGGTCACTTAAAATTAGGTGTGCTATATTTCTGCTGGGCAAACCAGCCCTCTTTAGGTACAATGAGAATTTACACTGGAAGAATTGGAAGGGGTGTGCGTGATACCGGAAATACCTAAAACTAACTTAATTGACAGTTCTAAAAAACAAGTTTTTAACTTGAGTTTTTAGTTTTAGTCTGATAAGCTTTTTACCGGAGAGAAATCCAGGTTAAATTAATTCAAAGCAGGGGCGTAGCCAGGATTTTTCAAAGNGGGGGGGGGGGGGGAAGGGGGTCACACTGTGTCAAAGTGAGGATACTCACCAGATTGTCATGCCGACCTCCATGCACCTGTTGTTGTAGGTTGTTGTTAGGATTACAAAAGGGGGGACTAATTAAAATGCGAGAAGAATACAGTGAAATCCCGACTTTTCGAGCCTCCAAGGGAAACGAAAATTGGTTCGAACAATTGGATAGTTTAAATTCCCGGAGGGGAATACTCCGAGAAAAATTGGGTGGGTTGTGCGGCCCGCTTCCCAAAAACCTTACCCTAGTAATGACCAACATCTGCGATTTCCAATACCCTATTTATGACCTGACGCTAATTCAATACCCTGTTTCAGACCTGCCTTATACATAGTTTCCTAGCTCAGACCGATGTTAAAGGCACTGTGAAGGAGGGCTTTTGTTGATCGGTCTTATCGATAATGATAAAAAAGTAGCTTCTAAAAAAATAAATGCCTAATTCAAGGCTAGAGTGCAAAAATCAGATCCTATGGCCAAAACCGATACCCTATTTATGACCTGAAACAGCTGAAAATCCATACCCTTTGGGGCCGCACATATCTATATAGGCCATATAAGGAAGTACACCCCCCCGGTTTAAATTATAGCGTTTGACTGAGGAGGGGAAACGACTTTTGGTTCGAGTTATCGGGAGGTTCGGAAAAAATGAGGGTTTGAGAAATCGGGATTCCACTGTAATTTGACTTATTTAGTAAATTTTGCTCCGAGTGCTCTATTTACATTTCAGTCAAATCGTCCGATATTTGTGGTTGTAGTGGTATCACGAACATTTTCGCAGCCTTCTTGGTCAAGGTCGGTCAAAATAATACTTTAAAAGTAGGTCTACCCACACATACTCGAGATGCGCCAGGGTGAAGATATCAAGGGAATTATCAAAGGTGAATCAATTAATCTGCAGGTTTTTTGGCAGCTTTTCCGACACACTGGGAACGAATTCAAACAAATCTGCCATCTTTTTTAATTTGACTTCATAAACTTGTACGGTGCTTGCCGTATTAAACTCATCATAACACTCCTTTAGAAGCTTCATTACACTGTTGAGTAAGGGAAACAATTTTACTAAAACTAGAACATTCTTTTAAGTTCTGTTTTGATTCGACTTTGTCTTTTAGTGCTCTTTGATGTTAAAATCAAAACATACCCGCTGCACTAAAGAAAACAAACAAGCACCAAAGTTCAAGGACTTTATTTTTTCCCGGAAAGTTAACAGGGAATCGAAACCGAAACTTGTTCATAACCACACCTGTTGTTTAAGTGTTAAATAAACAGCGGGGGTGGAACTGAGGAAGCTGGCATAAGTTAAGATACACCCTAAGTATAGTTTCTTGTCTTTTGTATACGGACAATACTTACGAGACATATTCTAAAGGGCCAAAGTAATTGTGGCCCAAGAAGATTAGCCTCGAAGATGTCAGAGATCTATTAATCGTGAATGTAGTCAGACCTTCGATAATATATAAGATCCGTACGAGACAAACTAAGTTTGCCACCCGGTTAGTTGAGGTCGACACCTGACACAGTGCTTGCGTAACTCGTCATAACACTCCTTTAGAAGCTTCAGTACCGTTGATTTGAAGACCGTAACATTCCGCTGATAAGCCTCCTTCGCTCGGTTTTTAAGCCCATCTATATGTAAACAAAGAAACTACTTCTGTTATAAGTCCCCCCGAATATAAACCTTCCCTCACGAAACCAGTGCAGTAGAGTGTGAGACAATATATTTCTTACTATTTAACATTAAAGAAACTGTTCAGTTATTAAGTGTACAACAGTTATGAAAAGACGGCATTTATCCAATGTCATAGGGCTTATTTTGCACTTCCGCTTTCTCGTCCTCAGTGTGGGGTGGGATGCGGGTTGGGAGAATGAGTAGGTCCAATATTTGCCGGCCCTTATGAGCTCTATTTGTTTCCCTACTTGTGACTTGTGTTTCTCAGTTTCCAAGAAACTAAAACGTGGTTTCATCAGCTCATTTTGAACCTTAATTTTTAAACCACTTAAAACCCTGTCAGGATATGAGCTCCTTTCCCCCGCCCACCCGAACTTAGGGCTTATCGCCGGAATTTTACGACATGTCTTTTGGTGCTTGTTTTTTTTTTTTTTTTTACCTCGATGATAAATCAAAACAAACCTTCACGCACTAAGAAAGACAAAACAACCACTAAATTTCAAGGAATTTTCCAAAGTTAAAAGGAAATCGAAACATGTTCAAAGCTGAACCTATTGTTAATGTCAAGTGCTAAAAAAAAAAGATGGGCATCTGAGTTCTAAAAAAACGTAATGTTGTCATGGACAAAGTTTGACTACAGTCGACCTTCGAACACAAAATCGGTATACGAGATAAATGTTAACAAGTTTAAAAAGTAATTCGCAAATTTATTTCAAATAGATATCACTAAAGAAAATGATTCACCGTGGCCTTTTCATATGTGTTTATACTTTAAATACTATCTCAGAATGGATTTCGTGTCACGGCGAGGTTTCATTGTTTTGTACGGATTATGTTTGGATGGGACTCCTTGCTGTTACTGCGTGATACCTGATTGAACCCCTGATCGGGAAAATCTGCCTACAGCGGAAGAAGATATGGGACAAGTAGAAAAAAAAAAAAACGTTTTGGAAGCTCTCCGCTAAACTGGAGGACTGCAGAATACACTAAGATGGACTCTTTGGAACGCGGTCGATTTCTTTCGTAGCAACTGATCTTTGGAAAAATCTTTCAGTCCATTAATTTTAAAGAAATAATAGCCCTGATTTGCGTATTCAAAAACAGTTCAACGTTATTTCCATTTTATTTGTTAAGGGAAAATTTTCAACGTGTTCGTTTGCTTTCGAAAGTCCTCGAACTAAATTTAACCGATATTGGCAACTTCCGATACAGACAAAGTCAAAAGTTCCGCGCCTATTTTAAATTTTTTTAAATCTAAAAATGATAACGCTAAGAGATCGTCGATGATTAATTGAAAAGCAGGCGGCATCGTATGCCATTCCAGTTGACCCGGGCAATCGGTTCTGGTTGTCTGTCTGTAATGTCAGGCTGAACACTCCAAAGCTAAGCTCTATGCTATCTCTCCTTTATTGAACCATGGACCTTATCGCGAAGAGGAGTTAACTAAGGATCTGTGAAGGTTAGTGAAAATATGTGCCAAAACTGATATTTGCTCGCTAAGATCTTATTTCAGTTATGTGGGTTTTCTAGCGGTGTAGAATTAGAAACAAACAGTGAGTTAGTCATGTGAGTTGAACAATACAACACAGGATTGTAATGCTGGCTGCACTGGGTTCAACAGCTGTACAGAAAGCCAAAAAGTTATATTCCCAGCCGAAGAATGAGTGGAAATAAGTTGCATTCCATTTCTTAAATACATGCATAGACGGATCATAGTCATTTTAATGTTCATTATTTTCGAACCATATCATTTATGATGGGGCAGTGCTAACCTGGCGGTCATCGCAATGTCTGTTACATTGTGTCGCTGTTGAATTTTTTTTTAATGTGCAAGTCTCTTAAGATTCAAGCTTTCTCTCGGTGGTGTATCTGAAAACAAGTTCAATTTAAAAGGCGAAAGCAAATGCTAAAAGACCCCCACAAAGATTCTCAAGATAGATTTGTAACAGCCTGCTGAGACCCTCCGCTGCGTAGCGTGTTGGTTTAAGTGGTAAGGTCGCTGCAGTGTTTTAGCTATTTTTGTCGACTGTGAGTCTTAACCTTCACATTGCATTATATGTGCAAAATCGTGACCTCAAATCGAAGAAAGATGATTTCTGTGCATTTTAAATAACATTTTTATTAAATTGATCTAAACTTGTTAAAGAGTCGGGCAGATATTTTTCAAGTTCACACAAATGCAATCCCATCTTCTCCAAGAGGGGAGTGAATAGGTCCGTCGATCCGCCAATATTTTTGTTCAAATCCGAAACCATAACCACATTCGGAAACAGAAGTGTAAAAGTTCAAAGGTAAACTGGTAAATGTGAATGCCATTGTTAATTTCGCACAAGTAGTAAAGAAGGCAACATGCTTGATGATTATTATAGTACAGTGCAATTCCAATAGCAGTCTCACACCTGAGTTTATTTGAGCTTCGTTCGAAAAAAGAAATAATTTGGATGAACTCATTAACATACCGACCAAGGCTGAAGAAAG